TGTCTCAGTTGATCGAATGGTTCTGTCGGGGAGCTTCTATCGGGTGATAGCATATCTATCATTAATATGTACATGTGGTTTCCGAAGAAAACCACCGAGGTGTCAACATCAAAGTCGTCGATAATTCGTTTGCGCAGTTTTTTTATTAACTCTTCTCTATTGGTGTTGCTTGCGTTATTCATTTGGTGTTTGTACTTGTTGATAATGTAATCGTGTGTAGTGATTGGCGCATGTATCCTACTTTTCGCCGCTACCGAACCTGACACCTCGGCGGTTCTCTTATTTAAGCATCTTACTTTTACGTTGGGAATTCCTTGTATGGGTGCCGTGGGACGTTTGGGGCATTTCATGCTCCAGGCGGCATGCTCGTCCGAGTTGCACGAGACGCACCTGGCTGGAAGGGGTGACGTACAAGCAGAGGTTGGGTGATTTCCCTGGCATTTGTTGCTTGATTTGAATAATTTAAGTGAAATTGATAATAATTAATTGATGGGTTTTAATTGAAAAATTTAATGAAGAAGCACTGTCTAACGAAATATATTTAATAGAAAATTTTCCAAATATATTAACGACAAATACTAACAACAAACTACTATAGTTAGTAACGATAAACTCCCAACGAGAAAGAAACGATTTCTGAAAATGAACTACTTCAATCTACCAGTAATACATTAAAATGTATTATGAAATAATCAATCATCAAGCGTTATTCCATTTTATATAAAACTTCGAATATATGATTAATGCCAGGTGAAAAAACGCTTGGAGTATCAATATCTGAAAAGCCATAAAATAGTTTCAGTTTTATGAAATGTAGAGTTTGCTGGATATTCACGTTTTAATAACGGCATGTACCTCTAGATAAAATTTAGCTTGAATGTAAAGAATGCAAGTTTTATTGTGAAGGTTTACGAGCTATTCGAAACGGTAATATCGGAGCAAAATATTTCAGTATTATTGCGCCCCGTGAAATACTTAAGTTCAAGTATTGAGACATTTTTCCCCCAGACGAATGCATAAGTTAAACAAGGCCCAAAAATTCGATATACGGAAACCATAATAATAAGAGAAAAAGAATTCATTCAATTCAGTATCAGTAGAATAATTATTTAATGTTTGCTTTCAGTATTTGGATAAGTGCAATTGCAAACAGTCTCCAAACGGTCGCTTCTACTAAAACGATATTAAAAATATATTTTATACGTCTAAAATAAGTCTTACCAAGCGATATTTCTGATCATACTGGAAATATAAGTAAATTCGTTTTTTATGGAGTACTTTGGAGTATTCTTATACATTATAATTATCTCCAACATCTTCACCGATTGTCCAATACTCGTCTTTACAATTAGTACGATTTCAATTCCATTTCAAATTTCATTCAATTACAAGTCCGATTCTTACAATTAGAAACATGTGTTTTTACTTAAATTTTTTTATGCATTTAAGTGCTATTAATTTTTTCTCATAATTTGGATATTTTTTTCAAGCAATTGAGATGTACTGTTGATCAGATACAAACTGTCATAATAAATGCTCTAGGAATCAACTGGTATTGCCAATAATATACAATAAATAATTGGAATTTCAATAGATTTTTATTTGCACAAAAGGAAAAGTCTTTCGATTTGAATAGCATGGCAAGAAGTTTTATCCTTCAAAGGTTTTTCACAATCCGCTCCCGTGAGACAGGATGTTTCATATGTAACGATTTTTCTATTTTGTGGCTGCCCAAAGCATCAGGTTCTCTATTATTTCTTCCAGATTATATAGGTCCGAAGAGAACAGTTTAGATATTTGGTTAGGTTGGGATTTAGACATCGCAGACAGTCTGCTTGCAGTATTTTAGGATTATACCCCGAATTTCCGTGAGATAAATGTCTTTTTGTCGTCAGTCACAAGTTGAGGATCATGTTTGATTAGCTACCACGTACTAATTAATATTTGCATTCAGTGTCGTTAAGTATTAAGACTTACACTGATTTATTTGAATTTTTAAATTACATTTTTAATTATGTGCCTAGATTTTTCGGATTTTGTTAAAAATTGTTTGCTCATATTATTTATTTATTTAGGGTCTTCTCGACAGCTGTAAGCCACTTACAGAGGGAGACCATATAACATCACCACCTATAATACATTGAATATTTGAACACAATTATTATGTTTAGAAACATACACATATGGTTTGCCAGAGTTCAGTCCCCAAAAGTGGTGTCATTTGATTAATACCTATACAGCTTATAGCATGAAAACATTATAAACCATTTTATTCCTTGCCGTAGTATTACATTTTCAATTTATTATTCATACCTATTAATTTCTCTTCTAATTGAGAAATTTCTGCCTCACCTTCTTATTGACTTAAATCCCAAACCATTTTGCATCTTCTGTCATTTTTCAACGATTATTACATATTTTTATACAGAGTTTGTTTCTGTCCAAGTTTTCACTTTTCTCCTTTTGTGCAATTTTATTGGCTAATTTGCTTATTTACCAGTAAAATATAACCGTGGAAATCACTTTTAGAAGTACCATTAGTTATTTGTTTTTTCAACTTTTTAAATTTAACACTAATAACATTTTAATTGCAGATGGCAGCTATATTTCCAGTGTTAGATAAGCTTTCATGTGTTATGACAAAATGGACAAGGCATTTGGGATTTTGCGTAACTTACACAGCTTTATTAATGAAAACTTGGAGGTAAGTTTGTCTTCATACAGCACAGATTTTAACTTTCAAATTTGGGCGCATTTTAATTTCCGGGAAACTGCAGAGGTTTAACGATATCGCAATATTTTTCTTGGCTTTTCTCCTTTCTAGTTTTCGCTGCTTTTTTAGTTTATTTCATATGCTTCGACTGTTTTTTTCATTGCAAGTGAAAGTGATTATCTAACAGGATTTTTTATTTACTTTATTAGGAAATTTTAAGTAGGAATATTTTTTAGAGCTTGGTTTTTTAGGTTTGGTTAATCTTTCAATTTCGTAATTACAGTCGTTAGACGAAATATTTCCTGTAACTACGATTTTTTCTGCACCTCTTTTCAGTATTTGGAACAACGAACTCTTCGTTGCCTGATGCATTATTCTTCTCATTAAGATTTTCTTTACAAAATTTTAAAATTATCAGAAGTGATAACTCGTCTAGTCGAACGTGTTGTGAATGTGTTTTACTGTTGATCAATATTTGGTCTCAATCAAATATTTTTTTTTGGAAACTGTCCAGAGTAACAAATGCAAGTATGGGGATATTACAAATTCCACAAGAAAACGATACGGATTAGCTGGGAATAAAATGGGCCAAAATAAATGGTGCTATAAAACTTTCTATTGCAATTTTCAGATTTTTGTCTTTCGTATTTCTATGTTTTCCATATTAAGATATCGTGCAGACGTGATCATTTTTTTCTTTCGAGAGGCTATTATGAACATTTTTTACCACAAACTAATGCACTACATATCAGAAAGTATGAAGCCAGATATTTGCATTAAGAAGTTTTGCAGTTCTTCTGCAGACAAACGTAAGGCTTATAGTTTTGATGCCAATTTAAAAATTATAATAATTTTGTTTCTGCTAATGACTCAAAAATGGATTAGATAGGAATTGAAAAAAACATCTGATTAAACCACCGACGAAAAATTGTACCAACTATCAGAACTATTTTATGTATTTGTTGCTACGGTTGTTCAATTTTGCGTAATTTGCGTTTACAATTTCCTCGTACGGCCAGTACGAGGAAATTGTAAACGCAACTGCTAAACTGCTTAGTACACAGCATAAAATTGATAAAAACTTGTCTGAACAGTTCCGCTACTTTTAATCATTATAGCTGTTCTGTTTGTCTTTCGAAATCACTTCCAGAGTTTCACTCACATACCGAGTGAAGTCTGCTCACAAAGTAAAACTTACGGACAACCAATTGCTCCAATGGATGGTACCGATCTTGCTAGTGATGCTCATTTACTTGGGAACATGGTCAGTTTCGGCTACCCCCACTGCCGAAGAAATAATGGACAACAACGGACTGAGATTCATGCAGTGCATTTATAATTGGTGGGATCACAGTTTAGCCATAGGTAAAAATGGATGTTGTTATTTTATTTAATGTAACTTTGAACTTTTCTAAATTTTAATTTAATTCATATTCGGCACTTTCTGGTTGTAGGTGAAGTGTTTTTCTTGGCCTGGGGTGTCAGGGTCTGCTACAATGTGAGACATGCCGAGTCAATGTACAATGAGGCAAGGCTGATTAGTTATGCGATATACAATATCGCATTAGTGAACATCATGATGATCGCATTTCAGTAAGTAAAGCATTATTTCTGAATTATAATTCGGCTTTTGTAATGTGGATATTCAGGCGGAAAAATAAAAGAAATGGAAAGCCAGCAAAAAAATGGAGCTCAAGGTTAATAAAGTTTTATTAACTTCCGATTCCAGGAATTTATTTGCATTGCAGTCTAATTGAATGAGCATAATTACCCAGAGAGACCAGACTATTTTACGAAATCCATTCGTTCTGAAAATAGTCTAGTTTCCCGTTTTCTTTTTCAGTTCGAAGTCGAAAATTAATTAAACACAAGCGAGCTAGTGATTGTCTTGAAGGTAATTTGAAGCCGTGAGGAAATAAACTAGTCTATCATTATTCCAAGTAGATTAAGGAAGTTGGCTCATTCTGGCTCAGCACGTTAAAGTTAGCTCTTTATTTAAATCGAACGCTGCTTTACAATTGCATTAATTTATCAAAGAAGTAAAATATTTAATTATCCTGCTAAATACAGGAAACGAGACAGTTCATCTAGCTGCACTGTTCAAATACATATTCATTTTTGAGTTACTGTGTCAATGGTTTGTGATATTTACCAAGCATTATTTATTCTATTTACCAATCACTTTTCATCGTCATCAATATCCACTTTTATTTTCGGATCAATGAGAACTTTAAGGCTCGCTCAATTCGTAAATAAAGTGTCGAAAAAGTCGATTCTCATTTCAAGCGTAGGTCGTTCAATTCAGAAAAAAACTAGAAACGTCCGCCTTACACAGTTTAATGGAGGAAAGTTTGTTCAATCAAAATAAATAAGTTAAAAATTACATTTAGTCGTCAATGAAGTTTTGCTTCTATCTAAGGGAAGGCGCTGCTTTGAATTGGGTTTTATTTAAATGGCTCTGCTTAAGAACGTTTACTTTGTTTTTACACTTATAATAGGCTTATCCTTAGAACCCAATTATTATGCCCTATAAACTGAATGAAGGTAATTAGATTTGCAGATACAAATGTTTGTCTTGTGGAAATACGTTTTCAACTGGCGGAGTTGCATTTTAAAACTTTTCAACGCAATCTTTTTAAATTATCATAAATTTAAACGCGCCTTCTAGCAGGTCTGAAGGCTCTCAAATCGATAACTCGTTTATTATGCCGAGTACAAATACGTTTTTAAAATTACGTTTTGTGGGAAAGTAGGTACACGAACTTTTTACGTAACAAGCTTTTTACGCTCATCAATTGTGGTGTTTTAATTCCATTACACGCAAGCCTGCAAAAAGGTATTTTTGTTCTAAATTGCTATGTTGCAATGACGAAAATATCTTTGCAGTTCTTTAAACTGAGTATATGTGAACATGATTTCAAATCAAGTAATATTTTAAGGGAGTCGATGTAAAATCCAAAATATTTGGTCAAATATTTATATAAAATAGGTTTCAGACTCTTTTAACTCTACCGCTTTTTCAATAACGTACATTTTTTCTCTTTGCCCTCTACCGCTTTTTCAATAACGTACATTTTGTTTCAAACAAGAGTAAGATACATTCAAGCAAGATGTTTTGTTCACTTATAGTACGAAATACTTACGGTGAATCGCGTTAATCTTTTTTTCTGGAAAAAAACATTTCATTTGGGCTTTGAAGTAATTTTCACAATTAATACGTGTTTTTTTGGAAAGTAATAATAGATTTAAGAACATTTTTAAAAAGCTGAAACTCATTGACCGCATGATAAAATTTGTTGCATGATAAGATGGTTTCAGATTTTTAATCATTTCCAAACTGAAACTGAAGTAAATAAAATCAATTGTATTTTCCATTTTGCTAAAATACCTTTATCCAATCATACTAATTTAAAATATACATTATTCCATCTTCTCTTGTCCCTTATCTAGTTTAATTCCCCCCATTAATACTTTAGCTACCATATCTATCTTAGATTAACTTAATTCAACAAAAATTTAAATTATATCTTGGATTAACTTGCGCTGAAAAATAGGGGCCCATATAACCCCAAAAGAATCTCCCGTTTTTAAAATAGCTATTAATTCAGTCAATCAATTATACCTGATAATCACCCGGATCAGGATTTCTTTAGAATGTTATGAAAAGCTCAAATCATCTGATCAGGAACGATTGCCATTACTACATGGACCGTGAAGGAGTTAACCGAAAATATTTTGCCCCCAAAGTCAGTTATTTTGCATGATTGCCTTTGCATTTTGAGTAGGGAAAGGAAATTAAGCTCCGTCCTGGATAGCGGTTCCCAATTGAACTTCACACTGGAAACATTTCAAGGAAATTTATTGACAGCAATTCGATGTCGAACATCTGGAAATAAAAGATGAAAAATTAATGTGGCGCACATAAATTCTTGTTGAATACATAATGTTGCGTTTTGAATAGGGAGTCTCATTAGAGTATTTTATCTAATTTTCATTCAAATTCCTTCAGAATAAAATAAAGACTCATTCTGCCGAGACTACACTATTGTGTGGTAAACTTGATTATTTTTTTTACAAACTGCTTGTTGGTTATTTTGCGTCAAAGTTTTTTGTCTTTAAAAAAGACAGAATTTCCTCACGTCTTTTATTACAGATTGATAAATAGTGCTCTTATTTCGCAATAAGAACGAATTATTTATCA